TCTTGGTCTCAGCATGCTCCTCGGTCAGGAGGCCCGCCGAGGTTGACGACGACAATACCAAGGCACTGATGGCGTCAAACCCACGTTACACGACATGAGGGTGCAGGAATACCGAGCATCCATCATTCCAGGGCTCGCGACCCGAAGAAGCTGGGTTATGTCGGCAAGCTTGGCATTTGGGTTCCTCATGAACTCTCCAACAAGTCCCTATGGTGGCCGTGTAAACATCGGTGATATGCTCATTAAATGGGAGGGAAACGATCTTTCTTTGAAGCGACTGATAACTGGTGATGCGAACCGGATGTTCATGACAGCATGGTGCACAGCATGGTCTCAGCCCCGACGTGACAGTTCGCCTCAAATGACATCCAGAGCGTTCACTCATCACAGGAAGGTCATGCTCTTGGTGTGGTAGGTTTTTAAAGGTGCGGTATTTTTCGAGCTCAAGGAACCAAATGCTCAACTTGAATGTGTGCTGTCAGCAATTGGACAGCTTGAATGGCTCCGTCATCCAGAAATGTCTGGAGCTCGTTTGTAAAGGAGCAAGGTTCCAGGATCACAGCATGCGACCACACGCAGGAGCGGGGTTCCGGGATGACAGCACACGTGACCACACGCAGGAACAGGGTTCCGGGATGACATCACGCGAACACACGCAGAAGCGGGGTTCTGGGATGCCAGCCGAGACCACACGCAGAAGCAGGTTCTGGGATGACAGCATGCGAGCACACGCAGAAGCAGGGTTCCAGGATGACAGCACATGTGATCACACGCAGAAGCGGAGTTCCGGGATGACAGCACGTGAACACACGCAGAAGCGGGGTTCTGGGATGCCAGCCGAGACCACACGCAGAAGCAGGTTCCGGGATGACAGCACGCGACCATACGCAGGAGCAGGGTTCCGGGATGACAGCACATGTGATCACATGCAGAAGCGGGGTTCCAGGATGACAGCACACACGACCACATGTAGGAGCAGGGTTCCGGAATGACAGCACATGTGACCACACGCAGGAGCAGGGTTCCGGGATGACAGCACACGTGACCTCACACAGGAGCAGGGTTCCGGGATGACAGTCGAGACCACACGCAGATTGACACCTGTCAGCAGTCCCTGGAGTTTGAAGGGGATGTGCTGCTCACTTGGATGGGATGGATGGGATGTGCTCGTACTTGGCTGCCCATGGCCGTCAGAACTCCACTCGTTTCACTGTCGGCAGAGCTTCTTGCGGGGATAGCATTCAGGCCAGACGAGTCTGTGAGTCAGCACCTGGCTCAGTTCCTCGCTGGTAGGGACAGGTCCTTCTCTGAACGAGGAATTACGAAGCTCACTGAAAGAAAGCAAAAGGTTATTGAACAAAATGGGCAATATTTCATTGATCTTTGTTCTTTATATAAATAAATGACCTTTGGAAAACATAGAAAAATGCATTCTGACTTTTTCGACAACCCAGTATTTGGGTGGTTTTGGTTCATATCGTGGAAATCCCCGATTGCAGCCGAGTGGGTCAAGGACTTAGTGTGAGTACCTTCTGGAATTTGCTGGCCGTGCTGCTGCTGGTTAAGAACAGGGGGACTTTTGTAGGTTAGTCATTTTATATACTCTAAGAAGCAGAACAAAATCATTTCTATACAGAAGCATATTTGTAAACTAATTTTTAGAAACTTACTTTTAAATTACACATAGTGCTGCTAACATTTGAGATTTAAACTTAGCACTTACCTCCTTACTCTGGCAATAGCTGTTGCCTAGTTTCACACCACTTCTCGGGTATTTAGGAAATGACAGTTTGAGACTTACTTAAAAGCTCTAATGTGAATTCTCAGGTATTAGCTCCTAACACCATTTTTGCTAAACCAGCTCACATGTAAGCATTCCAAGAAAGACTTTTTTTTTTAAATCCAGGTATTACCCTGAAATACATAAATGCATCTATAATGCGACATTGGCAGGGCTTAAAAATCCTTACCACATCTATTTTTAGGTGTTTGAATGTTGAAATGTTTACAACATTTAGAAACCTAATGATATGTCACCTAGAGAACATCGGTGGGCTCCTGGAGTTTAATCTGCATCAAATGGACGTCAGAATGAGAGGCAATTTCATTGTAACACTTCAGACCTTTAAAAGTGAACTCCGTAGCTTTTAACTGTTGCATTTGCAATCATATGTCTTCATGGAAGTGGATAGATACCTGCCTCAAAGAACAATCTTTTAATAAACCCTTCAAAATATCCTCCCATGCTGTAGCATTTCTGCAGAAGGAATTATGTTTTCTTTCTCCACTTCATGTGCAGTCATAGTGACTGCAGGGTCATTTCATTGCTTTGAAAATGTGAACATGTACATGTGTGTTGCCTGAACTCCTCAACATTCTTAACTTGGTTCATATAAAAGATTTGAGAATATGAACTTTTTTTTTAGGTTTTTGTCATAGGGCATGTGTGCTTGCCAGAGAGAGACAGTAAGAAGAAGTGAGAAACCACCCCCCAGGGCGACAATCCCTTCTCCATTCTGGGATTTTGGGCACACGCACACACACCCAGCATGATTATCAAGCTGCTGGATCCGGGACTCAAACCACAGTCAGCCATGTGGGAGTCCAGTGCCTTAACTACCATGCCACCTGCTGGCTCCCCAATGCGAACTTATTTTATGGAACTATTAGTGGTTTTAAATTGGAATGAGGAGACCGACAGTTAGCATAATGGCTATGTCGCTGGACTCCCATGTAGTCAACCGCAGTTCAAGTCCTGGACCCCGTGGCTTAAACTCACGCCAGGCGTGTGTGTGTGCGTGCCCAAGATCCTGAGAGGAGAATGGAGGAGAAGGGGTTGTGGCCCATGGCAATCCCCCCTGGGGAGGTGATTTCTCGTTTTTTGTCTCTCTATCTCTCTGGCGAGCACATGCGCCCTATAGCAAAAACCTCTCAAAAAAATTTAATTGGAATGAGAAGCCCTGTTACATCAGCTTGAGGCAAACCTGTCTTGTTTAGTTATATGTTTAACTTGTACAGAGGGTTGAGAACTATAGCACATAAAGGAAATTATATTTATAAAAATACCACAAAAATTATAGAGAGAGCTCTTTAATAAGGAAAAAGAACAGAATAATATTTGCTAGAATTTTCATATAATCTAATAAGCTAAAAAAGTTAATGAAGAACTTATGGTATTTTTCACTGTTCTTGAAATCTCAGCCATTTCCATTCACAAATGAGAAAATTCAGGGCTAAGGAGGTTTGTTAGCCGTCGAGAGCAAACCTAGGTCTAGTGCCGCTGGCCGGGGGGGGCCTGTACCGGGAATTACGATCATCCAGGTGTTGTCTGGAGTGGCTTTTTCTGCAGAACCTCCCTCACTGGAAGCTTCAGGTAAAGGCAGATTAAACCGGGGCTGGGGGTAGTTCCTGGCTACAGTGTCCACTGGGCTCCATGCAGTCTGGTCTGTGGAGATTAAGGGTGTCCTATGTGCTTAGCGCTGTTTGTATATATTTACAGATAGGTGATTTGTGCTTACTAATATCGATATTAATTATGCAATTTTATTTACGTATGTGCTAACTTATTTAACATATAGCATGTGGTTAGTGAATACTCACTGAATAAATTATCTTGGCTGATACTGAAGAAGGAACAAAATGGGGTCGTTAGGACATTGTAGTGGAAAGGAAGGTTTTACGAAAATTCATAAACTGACTCACTCTCAAACGCTCGTGGGTTGCGGTGGGAGCAGAGGTGTGTCTCCCTGGGTGTCTCACTCTCGCTGATTTGCATTTCCGGGTCTCCTGGGTCATTCCAGTGTAAGAATGTATAGCAGAGAAGATTTTTAACTTGGTACAATTGAGGCTATCCCAGACTTACGGACATTCAGACTTGCACACGGGTACACTCCTGTGGGGAAAGTCACAGTGACTGAAGGGAAGCATGTAGTACCTGTGGACACGCAGACCCTTGTGTGGACAGGGTAAGCCAGAGTGCATGCTGGCCACCAAAGGGATTTCCTACAAGCTTAGGTATAAATAGGCCATGCAGAACCTAGGGCCCTGGGCAGCTGGGTCTGAAATACACAGGTAAAATTTCATGGGGAGGAGGGACCAGCAGACGGCGCAATGGTCATGTGGCTGGACTCCCACATAGTCGACCAATGTTTGGGTCCTGGACCTGGCAGCTTGAAACGCACACTGGGCACACATGCATGTGTACCCAAGATCCGGAGAGGAGACTAGAGGAGAAGGGATTGCAGAATGGCCGTCCGCTCTGGGGGTGGTGGTGGTGGTGATTTCTTGCTCTCTGTCTCTCTGGTGAGCTCATACACCCTATACCAAAAATATCTCAAAAAATAAATTTTTTATCATGGTAAGGCAGGTAGATTTAAAAAAAAAAGTAATTCTGATAGGTGTTGACTGCCATGGTCTTCTGCAGGCTCCAAACCCAGAATAGTTGTGGAGAACTAATTTTGTTACTTACAAGTTCATCTGTCTCTGAAACGGGGGAATAATTCATTTATTTACTCACTCATAATTCACTTAGTCCCCCATTATTTATGAAACACCTATTCTGCAAAACACGCTCATTCCCAGAGTGACGCCGAAGGTCTAACAGAACCGGTGGCCATGGGCCGTTTCTTGGCACCAGGTGAATGCTCAATGGAGCTCTGCTCTTCTGCTCTGTGGTCCCGCCAGGGTTCCAGTTCCATTTTAAAATTACTGTGGATCAGAGACCGGGCTGCACCAAGCTTACTGCCCCCATAGTTCCCAGGGGCCTGGAGGGCAGTTTCTCCATTGG